GCCTGCGGACTGAAGGGTCCCAGGTTCGATTCCGGTCAAGGGCATGTACCTTGGTTGCCGGCTCAGTCCCCAGCCCTGGTTGGGGCGCATGCTGGAGGCAACCAGTTGATGTGTCTCTCTCACATCAATGTTTTTCTCTCTCTTCCACTCTCTCAAAAAAAAAATCAATAGAAAAATATCCTTGAGGAATGATTAACAATAACAACAAAAAGATATGCACAGTTGCTATCATAATGTATATTAAATATAAGTTAAAATTTGTGCAGATAGAAAGTGTCCTGTGATTTAAAACCTAAAATGAATAAAGTAGTATAGGTTGAAAACACTTTTTCACACCTCCCCCCTTTTTTTTAATCTGTCCAGTTCACACATTTTCTGTCTGCATTTGGAAGCAAATTCAAATGCAAGTTCTGATTTTGCCTGTGTTCTAGTGGTGGTTTATTTTGCATACTGTGCTATAACTAGCTTCCTTCCCGAAGATATTTGAAGATCTTTTCATATCAGTATATAAGGGAGCTTTTTTATTCTTTTTATAGAACTAATAGTATTACCATTGTTTGAATTCTGTAATTATGAACATTTAGGTTGTTGGCTTTTTGTTGTTGTTGTTGCCTTAGGGCTGAGGTGAGGGATGGGTAGCTGTGGCTGTGCTAAGAGCCAAAATTAACCTAAATTAATTGCAGTTCCATTCAAGCGTTCCCCTTTAAATTGCAAGCCTTTAGTAGACTCCAGACTACAAAAATAGTTACATCAGGCAGACACTGCCTGTGCTCTGGTTGAGACACATTTCTGATGCTCACCATTCCACCATCTTCCCAGAATCCTTCCCCACTCATGTAGATTTAATCTGCTTTTTTTTTGGTTATGAATTAAGTTAGGCTTTCATAGTTTAGGAGTCATTTCTCTGAATGTATTCATTTTGTCAGTTTTTCTGTTGGATTATTGGTCACATTGTTATCAATTTCTAGGATCCATGTGTTTGCAAATAGCTCTTTATGGTATCAATTGTAAGTGTATGTATATATATATATATTTTTTTTTTCTTTAGTCTTTTCCAATGATTTTACTTTTGGTATTTATTTTCATTGTTTATGTAATTAAATTTATTACATGTGGATTTTGATTCATGGGTAGAACGTTCTTTCTCATACCAGAACATAAGGAATTTTCCTTTTTCTTTTTTTTCATTTAGTATCTTTACAGTTTCATCTTTTTACATTAAACGTTTAATTCATTTGGACTCTAACCAGAGGTGTTATGTTCCTATTTAATTTCTTCTGTGTGGCTGCTAATAAAGGTATTGTATAGGACATTTCTGATTATATTTGTATCCATTTGTTGGGTATATTCCATTGGTCTCCTTGTAGGTGTAACAGGCAGCTTATTTTGATCATGCAAACAGCATGTAAAGAAGTCTGTTTCCCCACTATTGTTCCCCACTGCTAGATTTTAAATTTCATTTCCTTTTTTCTCCCTATCTGTTTATGTGGCAGTGGGGACCTCTTCACTATACTAACAAAGTATCCATTTATTGAGTATTTGTATATCACTGTAATATTTTTCACTTTATATCTTAAATGTAACTGCAGTAATTTTTATTAATTGAAAAGTTGAAGCCTGATATTTATCCAGGTGCCTCTGGCATGTTTTGTGAACGTGCCAACATTGGACTTTCCGAGAGGTGGTTGGCTCAAATATCCTTTCCTTGGTTTGTACCCATGAAATTTCCATGCCGTAATCACCAAAAGTAGCTCATAGATACAATGGCTAGTTACACACTGGTAAACTTAGAAATTGCAAAGATTTAAAGGAATTTTTAAAGAACGTAACGTCTGATGAGAGAAAATTGAATGAAGGCATCCACTAGGTTTTAAATGCCTTTATTTATGAAATGAGGGGGTTGGGACAAAAGATACTTAAGGTCCCCTCCAGTTCATTGTTTTCCCATGTACATGTCCATCTCCATTATTTTGTCTGGACACTTGGTTTGTTTGCAAGTTGAAGCTCTTCTTGGCAGTTCTCAGGGCTTGGCAACTAACGCTCTCTCAGCTGTCTCACTCTCAGCAATTGCTGTCCTGTTTCCATTTGGTCTCTTTTGTGAACCATGCTTAGAGAGCGCAAGTCATGGACTTAATTTGCCTTGCTAGCGCGTGTTCTCTCTCTCTCTCTCTCTCTCTCTCTCTCTCTCTCTCTCTCTCTCTTTCTCCCCCCCCCCCCTGCTTTTATTCTCCCCATAGTGTAGAAATGGAGAATGGAGTATAATGGTGATGCTTCTGCATTTCAGCGTGGGTTAGCTTTCCCTAAAATGAAGGCTGTAACTTTAGTAAAGAAATGGAATGGTCTTCTCTCCACTGCTCAGGGCAAGAGGTTTTCCACATTGGGGTACAATAGGACACTCCTTCATCAGTCTGTTACTACCTACCAGCAACAGTGTCTTTACTAACTGTCTCATTTGTTAGGTTCCTAAATAAAATCCATCTTAGAAAGGGTTTGTCTCTCATATTGAATGGCATTTTAATAAGCCTTTTGAAATGATTTCAACTTAGTTCACATCAGCCTTCTTTTTGAAGCCAAGTCATACCAGTTTGATTAGACTTTCAAATCTTTTAATCATTTGGTCCTCAGTTTAGTTTCAGATGTTTCACATCTCTCTGTAGAATCCAGAACTGGACTGAGTTCTTTAATAGTCTAGTGAGGATTGAGCGAAATGGGAAGATTACTCCTGTCCTGTTCCTGTATGTCTTGGGATTGGTTTTATCAGCAAGACTATGTTGTTCTTTCTCCAGTTAACAATTTTAAGAAAATGCTTCTGCATGAGCTAATATGCCCTCCCTCCAGTGAAGTTTATGTCCCTGTAGTAGGGCTGGCTCCGGGGCCTTGGATGAGCTTGTGCAGCTGCTCTGGGCTCTGTGCTTTGTTTAATGCCCTGCTGTTGCTGACCTGAAATTTTTAGGGTTTTAACAAGGAGCTCCTCATTCTCACTTTGTCCTGGGCCCTACAAATTAAGTAGCTGATTTTGCTTCTAGTTGATGACTTGAGGGTACCAATGGTAAGTCATAGTTCACATCTAACATCTAACCTACCCCTGGTAATAATTACAGCAGCGAGACCCAAGGCGAGGAAATCTGGTTGCGAACTTGCACTCTCTCAAGTCCACAGCTCTTCCACCTGCTAACGTAAAAACATCCAAACTTGTAAAGCAGTGGTTCTCAACCTTGGCTGCACATTAGAATCACCTGGGAATCTTTTTAAAATCCTGATTTCTGGGCCTCAACCTCCGGAAATTCTGTTTCTTTGTTATGGGGTGGGGCCACAACATTAGTAACAAAGAAACAGAATTTCCGGAGGGTGAGGCCCAGAAATCAGGATTTTAAAAAGATTCCCAGGTGTTTCTAATGTGCAGCCAAGGTTGAGAACCACTGTATAAAGAGTTTTTGTGAGTTTATTTGAGCCCAATTGTCGACAATTGCCGAGACCAGGAAGCAGAATCTCAGAAGATTGGGATAATGCTCAGGAGAATGGCAGTTCTTCACCTTGTTTTATACATTACAATCAAAGAGGAGACATAAGTGGGTTACAGGAAATCCATTGGTGATAGATTAGGGAGGTGGAGAAACCTCTGGGATTGGATAAAAAGTAAAATGATAGACACATAGTACTTCTTTTACCCAGGTGGGTGCAGGATAGTTAACAGTTAATTAACATGATAACAATAACAATGAAGAAATTCATGGTCTCTGTCCCAGCGCCCAGACACATTTGGTTGTGCCCTGAGGGGTCCGGTAAAAGGGAAGTTACAAGTTACCCTGATATTTCACAAGGATGTTATCTTAGATGCAAAGAAACCATAGGCCCAGTTAAGGGAAAGATTGACCTGTATCAGTGAAGATACTGGTCTAGGACATAACTACGCACTATAAACTGCTTTAGTTGAAGTTTTAATCTCAGAGCATCCTTTGTGGTTACTCTAGGTCTTTGAGTTTGCAGAACCGCCATGCAGGCCTTCCCTGAGCTTGTCAGGTTAGCATGTGGCCTTTTTTTCCGTCCACACACCAAAGTGCTTATAGATGTACTCACTGTCCACCCGTTGCACCTCTGTTCTCTTCTGGATTTGTCTCCTCTTGATCATTACTTTATTGATCTCAGTCATGGAATCCACACATTTATTCATGGAATGGAAACTTTCAGCATCCAATAGATGTCCTTTCCAGAGGATTCTTTCTCAGAATCCCTGACCTTGCAGTCTTCCTGTTATCTCTTGTCCAAGGCTGAGGGTTATCCACTCACCTCCATGACTGCTTATTCTCTGGCTTCTCTGCTCAAGATATCTGGTAATTTTGCACAAGTTAATTTCTCACCCAAATTTTAGGTTTTTTTCCTGTCTCTGCAAAGAGACCAGGGTAGTAATCACAGGAACTCCATCTGGGGTAGAAGTTTGGATTTCAGTGCAATGTCAGGATTCCAGAGTATATGGGCAAGAAAATTGAAAATGTCTTACAATCCTATATAATAAAAGGCTAATATGCAAATAGACCGAATGGCAGAACGACTACTTGCTATGATGTGCTCTGACCACCGGGGGGCAGACGCTCAATGCAGGGCTGCCCCCAAGGCCTGCGCGGCGCCCAGGCCCAAGCGCAAGCAGGTGCCA